TTTTCAACCGGCGCAAGTGGGACAGACAACGAAGTTCGATGCTGCATGCAGTGTTCACGCAAGCGTGGTAACCATTACTTGTCACCCCAGTAATTGTAGACTCCGCAGTGCGCGGCAAATGCACTGAAGCGCGCGAGCCCCGGCAGTCGGGGCACCCCAAAAAACTACAAGCACTAAGCAGGCCACTGCGCACATGGCGCTGGAACGTTGTTGCTAGCTCGGTTGGAAGGGAGAGGGAGACGAGAGCGCCCATGCTGATGCTGTGGATGGGGGGGGGGGGGCGAGACGGATGAGGGGGTGGGGGGGGGGGGCAAGGAGACCAGTGGGATGGCTCAAGAATATGACGGGCATGGGAGGGAGGAGGAGGGGGAGGAGGAGCAAGTGTAGGATAGGGGAGGGCACTGCTTCCCGAAGAGGAGGAACAGGAACGCCACTTGCACGCCTGCGGGGCGAGAGTTACACGTTGGAGCGGTATGGTGGCCAGCGATCACTTCCCCAAGAACTCCCTCGCGGCCTGGATGGTGGTGACCTGGCCCGTCTCGATCGAGTCCTTGAGGGCATTGACCTTCTCGATGTAGTCGGGCTCGCGCGCAGACATGCCTGCGACGTACTTCGCGCCGACCGAGCCCCTGACGACGACGCAGGCCTCGCCGACGCGCTTCCCCGCGGTGGCCCGACTGACGACGGTGGCCGGCGGTGCGATGGTGATCTGAGCCTCGGCCTTCTTGATCTTCCCTGGCTTGCTGGCCTTGCCGGCCTCGCTGACCTCGCCGGCCCCGCTGACCTTGCTGGCCGCCTTGGGCGTCAGCTTCTTGGGCGTCAGCTCGCACAGTGTGGCAGCAGCAGCAGCGGCCGGCGCCGACTTGGCTCGGGGCCTACGCCTCTTGGCCATGGGGCCTGTCGTCTCCAATCTCTGGCCGCCGCGCTTGCAGGGCGGGATCTCGATGGCACCCGAGCCTCGGGCTCACCAGTACGGCCATTGGCCGAGGATCACATTGAACGTCGAGGATCGTAGATCCCCGAACCTCGATCCTCGACGTTTGCCTTTTATAGGTTTGAGCGTTTTGGGGGTCCTCCAAGTTTGCGAAGGGGGGATTCGCGCTGGGCCCAGGGCTTCCCGAAACGAATCTTCGATCGAGGATCGCTGCGTGTTTCTATCCAGGGTAAATGGCCTGCGTGGCTGGCCGTCGTAGCCTCGAGGCTCTCGCTGGCGGCCTCGGGCAGGCGCTCGGGGCGCGCGCGCGTCTCGCGCACCACCTCCACGGCGCCCGAATCGTCCGAGCCGCCGTCGCCCAAGACCTCGGGGGGGGGCAGGGGCTGGGCGGTCTCTGCCGAGAACGCGCCCCCGGCAGCTGCATCGCCGTCGTCTGCGGCCACTGCGTCCCCCTGAGGAGGAAGGGGCTGGACGAGGACGACGAGGGCGCAAATGGGGAGGGGGGGGGGGGGGGGAGAGGAGGAGGACGAGGAGGATGAGCAGGATGAGGGAGTGGGATGAGGAGGAGGAAGAGGAGGAGGAGGGAAGGAAGGGGTGCGGTGAGAAATGTGCGGTGAGGAACACCAATGCGTCAAAAGGATCCGATGTCTCCTTCTGTGGGAGAACAATCATGCCCACGACGGCCTTGACAACGATGGGCAGGTCGCTGTATGAGTGCTCGGCCTTTTTGATGTCGTAGATGTGGCGGCGCATGATGCGCCATGCGTCGGCGGCCTTCGCCGCAGCGTCGTTCGCGGACGTGGGCGGCAGGTCCTGGCCAAACACGTTGTGCTTGTAGTGGGCCAGGGCCAAGGCGGACTTCGCGATGCCATGGGATGGGAACCCGCTCGGGGCAAGCTCGACGAGGCGTGCCAGGGGCTGGGCGTGCCTCTTGGGAGACTCCGCGGACGGGCTCAACGAGCGGCCCAATGAAGCGCACGAAGCACCGTCCCAGGTGAAATGCGCATTCCGATTCTTTGCCAAGCCCTCCCATTCCTCAGCCAATGTGGCGCCGTCGAAACGATGGGTCATCGACCGAGGCGCGCGCCTAGCAGGGCCTTCTTTCTCGGACATCGTCCGCAGCACTTCAAAAACACGAGTCCCACAATCGGCGGAGCCAAAACGGCTGCAACAACGGGATCCAAGGGGAGGAAGGGGGAAGGACAAGAAGGAAGAGGTGGAGGATGTTGAAGACGGGTGTCCTTTCTCTCTTGTGTTATTGGGACCAAGGTGGGGCCGCCTAACCCTGGGAAGCAAACAGTAAACCCCCCGGCGATATCGCTAGCACAGAAAATAAAATAAATAATTATGTTGGGCGGCGCCCTCCGGCGATATCGCTAGCACATTAAAAAATAACATCATTAATTAATTTGCCCCCCTCCCCCGGCCCGAAGCCGGCGGCAACGCGAGGCGAGAGCCTGAAGAACCAATGCGCGCGAACGCTTGCCAATGGGTTCCCGCCTTGCTAGAACACTGGGAAACTGACGCGCATCGGAAATCAAAGGTAAATCAAAAATGACAAACAATGAAACCACCGCAAGCAGCTATACTTGAAAGGACCCCCCAAAGGAATCCCAGAGGAATCTCAGAAGGAAGCCCACGCAGAATCTAAAACGAACCCGATTGGAAATTCAAAGTAATCTCAAAGGAGCCCAACAGAAATTGCAAAGGGATCTCAGCGGCAGCTCAAACGAACCACGAAGGAATCTAAGGAATCTGGAAAACGCGGGCTCGCGTGGACATAAGCAATCCCTATGGCGACCGCACTAGGGAAATTGATTATATCAGGGGATCCTATGGGAGAGTCCACGGAGAGATATCGCAGACGGATTCCGCGAACCCCCCCGCGATATGTTAGCACATTTATTGAAAATAAAATAATCCACAAGCGCCGGAGGTCGATGTGATGCTCCCTTCAGGGATTGTCGAAGGAATGTCAGAGGAACCCGAAAGGACCCCCAAAGGAATCCCAGATGAATATCACAAAGAATCCCACGCATGATATCAAAGGAACCAATGGAAGTTCAAAGCGATCTCAAAGGAGCCCAACAGAAATCGCAAAGGCATCTCAGCGGCAGCTCAAACGAACCACGAAGGAATCTAAGGAATTTGGAAAACGCGGGCTCGCGTGGACATAAGCAATCCCTATGGCGACCGCACTAGGGAAATGGATTATTTCAGGGGATCCTATGGGAGAGTCCACGGAGAGATATCGCAGACGGATTCCGCGAACCCCCCCGCGATATGTTAGCACATTTATTGAAAATAAAATAATCCACCGGCCCCGGATGTCGATGTGATGCTCCCTTAAGCAATGGGGCATCAAAGGGATACGACCGGAACCTCAAGGGACCCCCAGAATAACATCAAAGGAACACCAGAGGAGTCTCAAAGGAGTCCCAAAAGAATCACAATGGAAACGGCAAGGAATCTCAAAAGAAGCCAATCGGAGTATCAAAGGAATCTCTGGGGAATCTCACAGAAACGCACAGAATCACAGGAAGCGACTCTGGGCAGGTGTGCCTTGTCGCTGGGCTCGGGGGAACAAGGGGACCGGGCATTCAGAGGCTTGTGGAGGCCTTTCTGGATGCCTCCTGGGAACCTCCGGGGACCTCCCCTCCGCGGACCTCTGGTGACCTGCGGGGGATATCGCTTCCGCCCCGGCCCCGGTGCCGGAAGCGTTATAATTTCCTCTGATGAGGGGGGGGGGGGGAGGGGGGTTTACTGATTGCTTCCCAGGGTTATGCAATGGCACTTCAACGACTCCCCCAATCCATTGTTAGGGTGATGCTGTGCATTGCGTGCATTCGGATGTACTAGGTGTGCTTTCGTATATTTAGGATGAGTGAATACTAACGAACTTACAGAAATATTTAACTTGCCTACATGTCATACTAATTTGTTGTTGTTTTAATGAGCGTGCACGCGCGATATCAACACACGCGTGTTTTATTAAAGCCATTGTCCAATTTAGATGTGCTATCAGCAATTATAAAAATAGCGTTTTGGGGCTATTGGGCACCGGGCACCCCCGGGCACCCACCCCCGGGCACCCCCAGGCACCCGGCCGCCAAATCGGCGCCGCACCTCACCTAACCATATGAATCCGCTAGGACCCCTACAGAGGCAAGCTCTGATTGGGGAACATTGCATCATGAATCATTCGATTTGGGCCTACGCGTTGACGACATAATTGGTAGATGTTTGGGCTGGGGCACGCCTCTTGCCTCCAATGGACCCACGAAATTCCTCGGAAGAATGTTGAACGAATCTGGTGCACTGTGGGACCCCCTTTTCCAACTGGCTGGTGCAACTAGGTCACCGAATTGCGCTTCGTGCTGCGCGAAGCGCGATGCACGACTATGTGCTTGTTTTTGGGGGGAGGAAATGGAGATGCGACATCCCGGCAACACAGTGCGCGCATGTGTGAGAATTGCCTCTGATTGCGCGCACAACAAGCACGATCAGAAGCAACGAGCGATTGTCTGCCCTTCTCTGGCCCAGACCGCAAAAGCACGAAGCGTGATTATCGTCGCCCCCCTGCGGATTACTTCAATTGTCAAGCCAGCGATCGGCCAGGCCGCTCATCCCCCAGAACGCCAACCCTCCAGCTCGCCAGCCGAAAGCTCAAAGGTTGAGGGCATGCGCGGGGGGAGGGCGGACATCCGTCTGCCCCTGCCCACCCTATCCTGGGTGCGCGTGACATCTGCGAAGGCAGCGAGCCTTCTGGACCCAGGCAGGACGGGTAGGGGAATCAGACCTCTGACGTTAAAGACCCCAAGACGACTGGTTCTTCCAATTTTGAATTTTGGAATATCCAGAAGCTTGATCCGACCCCCGCGCCCAGACAAAGCAACCCATGGCTCAAAGTCCATGAGAAAGACTGTGTCGAGAGTTCCAAGGCCGCGTATTGGAACGAATCATGACGTCCGATGTCTGGTGGAGAGGGAGGCAAAAAGCAGGGAGGACGGAGCGGAAGGGCAAAAAGAGAAGGGGAGGACGATGCGCCGGGAGCCGCTCAGGCCGCCTCAAGCTCATCAAGCGCTCCAGCACCTTGCGGGCCTGGTCGGCTTCCTGCGCCTGCGCGCCGGGCGCCGCGCGCACCCGGCACCACGGTCCCTGCCGAGAGAGAGCCAAACGGCCGCCACGAGGGCCCCAACCAGACCCGAACGACTGCTCCGGAAGGGCCCCAAAAGCCCTCGCGGGAGCCCCGACGGCTGCCACCAGGGCCCCAGCCCTCGACCCTGAAAGGCACGCCGTTCGGCTCCGCGCCACTCTTCGGCCGCCCCTGGCAGCGGAGCGCGTCGGACTCAGTTGGATCGGCTCCGAGGGCGGGTGCCCGCGAGCTCGCTTTTTGAAGAACCACGGGCCGACACGTCTCAGACGGCCCGCAAGGGATCCAAATCGACTGCTTGCTGGGCGTGGGCGACGCCATATTCACAGCAGAACCGTATCCCCCAGATCCAGATCCTCCTCCTCCTCCTCCTCCTCCTCCTCATCCTCCTCCTAATCCTCCCCATGCTCCTCCTTCTTCTTCTCTTCCTCCTCCTCACATCACAGTCATTACCATCATCATCGCTGTATGCTCGTCGTGGGCGCGATAAAGACGGATAATGGGTAAGATCTCCGCGGACAAAACACTTATCAAATAATCATCGGCAATATTCGTGAAAACAGATGGTCAGACGCTCAGCGTTCAGCCGGGGGCATCTGCAACATCTCGCTGAAGAGGTCCTAGACACTTCGCAAAATTGACAGAAGGGGGGGGAAAGAAAGAGAGAGAAAGAGAGAGAGGGCGACAAGGGGGCAGAAAGAGAGAGAGAGAGAGAGAAAAAAAAAAAGAGAGACAACAAACCATACCCGCTGCGCGGCGCACGGCCTGGCGTCATTCGGGCAGAGCGTGGGGACCCGCAGTAGAGCCGATGTCTCGGCGGTGATATGACCGCGCGCGAACCTCCTACGCCAGGCGTAAGAATTCACGTCATCCAACGACCGTGAAGCATCCTCATCCTCACCTTTCATCCTCCGTGTCGTCTTCATCCAACTCCTCCTATTCTTCCTCCTCCTTCTCCTTCTCAACCCCTAACTGCCCCCTGATCCTTCTCATGCTCCTCGATCAACACCTGCAGAGGCCAACCACCGCCTCCAAAATAGAAAGGGTCGGCAGATGTGGAGTCAGCATCTGGGCTGCCATTTGACCTAGCCAGGGCCAGCGTGATTGCTCGTAGGCCCGTAGGCCCTTTGCCCTCTGGAGGAGGTGGTGGGGCCAGCGCGGATATCGGGGCCCACGAGCCCAAGGAGTGGAGAAGGCCCTGACTACAGCAGAGATGTTCAAAACGATGCCTAACCAGCCAACTCCGACCGCTGTAGTACGGAGGTTGGCTTTGAATTGCCCGATTCTTGATGCCGTCCCTCAAGCATCACCACCAACATCAGAATCATCATCACCACCAGCATGATCATCATCATCATCATCATCATCATCATCAGCATCATCATCATCATCATCATCATCATCATCATCATCATCATCATCATCATCATCATCATCATCCTGATCAGCATCAGCCTCAGCATCAGCATCATCGTCATCCGCATCATCTTCATCATCATCCTTATCATCAGCATCACCACCACCATCATCAACAACAACATCAGCATCGTCAACATCATCATGAGCATCATCATCATCATGAGCATCACCGGTATCATCATAAGCATCATCAGCCTCAGCATGATCATCATCATCATCAGCATCACCACCACCGTCATCATCATACGCATCAGCATCATCACCGTCATCATAGCGTCGTCATCAGCAGCAGCACCAGTGTTACCCTCATCAGCATCAATTTCAGTATCATCGTCAGCATCAGCATCAACAGCAGCATCATCAGCCGCAGCATAATCAGCATCACAACCTCCACCAGCATCATCATGATCATCGTCATCATGATTATCAGTATCATCAACATCTAGATCACTATCATACATTACCTTCCTCCTCCATCTGCTCCTACTCGGTATCATCATCACCATCACCACCCGCATCATCATCATTATCATCATCATCATCATCACCATCTTCATCGTCGTCATCATCATCACCATCAGCAGCAGTATCACCACCATCAACAGCATCACCAGCAGCATCAACATCATCAGCAGCCTCATCACCATAATAACCATCAGCAACACAATCAGCACCACCATATTCAACCGTATCACCATCATCACCATCAGAACCATCATAAGAATGATCATCGGAAACAGCATCAGCAACGTCAACAATACCATCAATCACCTCCATCTTCCCCTCTCAATGTCATGATCCACTTCCTCGCATTCCTCAACATCCCCGCTCCTCATACACATCCGTCTCCGCTCATTCTCAGCCTCCTTCTTCTCCTGACACCCTGCTGCCCAGCTGGCCAGCTGCGCACCGAGGCAAGGGCCAGCCTGCATATGCACTTGCATAATCATCTTCAAACACTCGTACGTCAGGTTCTCGTTGTCGAGGGCCTCTTCCCGCGTTTAGAAGACATCTCCTCCTCCTCTTCTCGCCCTCGCTATATCCTCGACTCCTCTCTTGTTTGATTATTTGTTTCCTCCCTCGCCCTCCCTGGGCGGTGTCAACTGCACAACTGTTGCCCCGTGCGTGAGCGCCTGCAGGTTCAGCAGAGCGACGTCTTACCCAGACCAAGCGAAACCAAGCGTCCCTGGCGGGCCTGGGCGCCCCCAATTGCGCCTGGGTATCCTGTCTGGGTGCTCGCATCAGTGACGACATGAGCCGTCAGATCTTCAGTATGTTCATCTGCCTGCTTGACATTCGGTCCTGCACTGGGTCTCAGTATGCGATTGCACGTTGCAACCACTGCTCCCTTTTCCTCATTCCAATTTTCGTGCACCTGCTTCGCTTACCACAGTCACGGGTCCAAGGGGGACCTGGACGAAAAGGTCAGATATGTACGGAGATTGACGAGCATCGTCATTGACTGGACACAGTCACCTCTAAGCCACATGGCTACACTCATTACAAAAGACAAACAAAAATCCACGGATCCCCCTGTGTGACGGTGTCGGTGACACACTTGGGAAGGGGAGGAGGAAAAAGAAGTGGAGATAAAGAGAAGAGGAGGACTGGTCGGGGGTCGGGGCTAGGGAGCTGAAAGCTGCAGAGGCGGAGGAGGGAGAGCGTTCAAGGAGGAGGGAAGAGCCGTGAGGAAAAGAGAGGAGAGAGACGGGATGAGAAAGGAGGAAGGAGTACCAGCAGCAGGAAGACCACGAGGACGATGACAACGAGGGGCCATCAGTCGGAGCCTCGCCCTGGGCGAGCACCTGCGTCAGCAGCCCCTGCGCCTCCTGAGCAAGGCGCGCGCTCGTGTGCGCGCCCGCTTGCCGCTAATCTTGCAGCAGCTTCCTCCGCCGTGCTCCAAGTGGAAGAAGAGGAGGAGGAGGAGGAGGAGGAGGAAGCACCACCAACTCGAGTTCGAGTGCGTCGAAACGAAGGAAAAGACAGGCCAGGGCGGGCGGAAAAGGGCGAGCACGCGCGACTCGACGAAATAAAGAAAAGGTGATAAAACGAGAAGCGAAAATCGCAAGGCGAAATATCGGAGACGGAGCCAATAAGTGGCGTCGTCCGAAGGGAGGAGCGGTCGAGGAGACCCTGTCCACTTCCCCGTAATGTCGTCATTCCCTACCTCGAGAACCTTCAGGTACGTCGAGTCCTTGCTAGATGCAAGACCCTTGCAAGCGCCCCGAAGGCGGGAACGAGGAACCGACGGCTGGGCCCGATCGCCGCACAGACGGCAGAATGCAAGGATGGGTCCGAAGCGCGACAACGTGACCCCGATCACGACCAGGCCCTGCAGGGCCTACAGCGGGGAGGGGGTGGTCAGGACGGACCGCATCCCCACACGGCGAGCCTGCAGAGGCCAGAGCCCATCCATGGGGTGGAGGCCACACGGGTCGGTCGGGGGCAGGAGGCACCCCGACACAAGCGGCAGGGGAGGGGGCCAGAAGCCGCGGCGCCTTCGGGCGCGGGCCTCCAGAGGCCCGAGCTTCCTTCTGATCATCCTCATCCTGCCTGGCGTGGGAGGGGGCGTCGGGGGGGGAGCTCGGGCACATCGGGGCCCTGCGTGCGGGCCGACTTGGCCAGATGGCACGCCTGGAAAAGTCCAGGTTCCTCTTCTCCTCATCAGTCCGGAGCCTCACCCTCTTAAGAGCCAGAGACCGCTCAAGGCCCACAGGGTCCGAGGGCGGTGGCACTTCAGCTCCCTCCAAGGCCCACTGGGCCCCGAGGAAGCGCCGACCACGGAGGGCCCGCCCCACCAGCAGGCGGGCCAAAGGACGACGCAGGCAAAGGACCCACCAAGCCAACCCCAGAGCCAGCGAGGAGGATGGGGAGGAGGAGGAGGAGGAGGAGGAGGAGGAGGAGGAGGAGGAGGAGGAGGGAAGCGGGAAACCAAAATAATCCCAAGCTGCATTAAGGATGCTGTGATACACCATCCCGTCCCAAGTCCCTCCAAGTCCGCGTCATATGCCCGAACCACCTCAAAAAGCAACACCTTGAAATACTATCACCCGGTGGGCCTGCCACTCGGGAGCCCAGTTTCTATCGACAAAAACTCGCTTGCACAAAAGTTGCTAATCATAAGGGACGCACCAAGGCATGACAGTGCAATTCCAGTATGATTAGCGAAATCCCCGCTCTGATAATGAACCGCCACATCTGCATATCTCCCGCACAAGATTCATTGCTGGGCACGAACACTGAAAAACATGTTCACGACAACCTCATTTTGAAATTAGCCGTCCGGATGCGTGCGGCTCGACCAGATGCTCAAACGTCGAATCTTCTGCCCTCCATCCACGCAGCTGTTGCATCTGCTCGAGTAGTATGTTGCCGGTTCGGCTTACAGAGTCACAAACGAACGCCCCACCTTGAAAAGGAAATGCCACCATCCCTGCAACATCACGTAACCGTTGCATGTGCTACAACGGTTGCGCGGGGCGCTAAGGCGAGAGACTATTCTGAGAAGGGACGGTCCTCCAACATTGAAGCGGTTGCAAGAGTTTGAAACGATTGCGCGCGGAGCTAAGGCGGGAACTCAATGCATCGTTGAAACATGTACATGTTCATGTTTCCGGATCGTGCACGGCGAAGAATTCTCCAGCGAGACGCCTGGTCCGCCTTACCGAGACGGCTGGGCGCGCGACAGGGGGAAGCTACCTGTAACAGGGAGGGATGGAGGAGAAGGAGGAGAAGGAGGAGGAGGAATAGGAATAGGAGTAACCCTGGGGCGCCGCACCGTCTATCCCACCTGCGAGGAAGAGGGCGCCTAGGTTCTACTACTGTAGGCCGAGAGGGCCGCCTGCGCGTTGGCCAGCGCCGCGAGGGGCTGGCACGGGCCCAGTGGCGCACCCAATGGCGCGCAGCCAAGCGGCTGCCACCATAAGCGCCGTCCTCAAGGAAACTCTTGCTTGAGTGACGCCTAAAACGGAGACTTAGGGCGAAGCAGGGCACCAGCAGGCGCCATGCCCCCCCTCCAAGGACGAGGAGAGGACACCGCCAGAGGCACACTCAGGACAGAGGAGCCCGCGGCCCACCCCTGCCTCGAGAGACGCCTCGAGCAGCACCCCTTCCACGCCCCCTCGTTCCTCTGCCACGGCTGGCTGAGGATCGAACGTCAAGTGCAACAGCAGGCCCCATGCCTGGGGCTTTATCAATCGTGTACATCTGAGGGGGAGGGTCAAGGGGATGTCGTTGCGGCCGACAATCCTGACTTGCGGACCCCCCCCCCCTCCGCACCCGTATGTAGGCAGCTCGCTGTGCAACGGTAAAAGGCCCCATGGGCCTGCCTATCCCCCGCCATGGCATACTTCAGTACTTGCTCGGCAAACTCGGACACAGAAGTCCAATCGGGCAGCTGTGGGCACGGGCCGATCGGGACCGAGGGCGGAAGAGGGGGAGGTTTCGGGCCGTAAGCCCGCACAGCCGGGGGTGGAACGCTAAGACCAATGGGGGGCGAGGGGCAATGGGCGTCATGCCATCGATCTTAACACCCCCATATCCTTTGTAGAGACCGCTGGACACGATGAAATACTTGTAGTTTCACCTCCTGAGGAAGTCAAGGTGTAAGTACCGAACCCTGCGTCAACCAACAGGACAGCCATGTCCTCGGAAAACTTAAATTATCCTCGGCGCGCTGGCGGCATATTGAAGTCGCTTCCGATGGTGTAGGACCTGAGGAAACTCCAACCCAGACGTCCTATCTTGTATAGAATGAACATGTCGTGGTCCGACAAGTCCTGACAATCGCGCAGGTAGTAGCTGACGACCACGAAAGGGTCCCGCTTGGGTGGGCACCTGAGCGGCAATAGCCCGATGCGCAACAACTTGGGTACCAGTCGAAGGAGCCACCAAGCCGCCAAGCCTAAAATAATCCGGCGCATCACCGCTACTCCACCAGAGGTGCCCGAGGCTGGAGTCATCCCCGAAGGGACACAGCATCGATCCTAACATGCAAATCGAATGGCATACTTTATCGAAGCAAGTATGACTCCGACAAAAAACACGCTCGCATGCAGAGCCAATCAGATCAGAGGGGTGATTATGCTGAGCCGCCCTGCCATCAGGCTGCAGGGGGATGGACGGGTCTGGACTGGGTTGGAAAAAGGGGTTGGAAGGGGGCGGAGGCTTGGAGACGGTTGGAGAGGGTTTGGAAGGAGTGGGAAAAAGTTGGATGGGGGTTGAAGAGCGCTGGTGGAGGTTGAAGGGGCTGGGGGGCTGAAGAGGTTGGGGGAAGGTGGAGGGATTGGAAGGGGTTGGAGGGATAGTAGGGGGATGCAGGGGGCTGGAAAGGGTGAAAGCAGTTGGAGGGGGTCGGAAGGAGGATGAAGAGGGCTGGGAGGGGCGGTGGAAGTCGGAGGGGGGTGGAGGGAATCGGAAAGGGGGGGGAGGAGCTGACAAGGAATTGGAAAGGCTGGAGGGGAGCGGAAAAAAATAAAGAGGGCTGGTGGTGGCTTGAGGGTGCTGGAATGTTGGAAGGGCATGGATGGCGGCGGAAGGGTTTGAGGTTTGGAGAGGGCTGGAGGACTGGAGGGGGCTGGATATATTTCAATCGAAGATCGAAGCTCGAAAGGAGGGACGAAACACCGCAGCGGACAGTTCCGCTGCATGCTTCTACGCTTCCCTGATCAAGGCAACTCGCCTGGCGATCGTTTCTGGATGGGCTGGCGGGGATACGTTTGGGTACGCAGGCGCACGAATCAAGTCGGACGCAGGGAAAGCAGTGGCAGGCTATGCCACCTGCGAAGGAAAAGACAGCAACGAACACGCCGGGACAGGCGGAACTCAGGGGCCGCCGAGGGCAGACGGAGAGGAGCAGCGCCAGGACTGTGAAGAACGTGTCGGCCGTGAGGATGAGCAAACACCACAAGGAACGGCAGAGCGTGACCGCGCACCTCCAGGATAGCCGAGCAGGCCCATCCGTACCCCGAACAAGAAACCGTACCGAACTCGTAGGACACGCAGCCCGAAGGGTGAAGGCATAACTGGAACGCCAAACTTGCCGTACAGGTGGGACTTGACGGGAAGACCGTGCCCGTCGCTAGCGCGTCAGAACGAATGGGAATACAGCGCAGCTAAAATGGCGCGAAAGAAGTATAACTGCACCAGAACGACGAAATGGCCGGCGAGGAACAAACTCCAGAGCGCCGGTAGATGAGCCAGCAGCACCAGGAAGGCCATGGCGAAAGGCCCGTGCACCCCAGGCAACCTTGTCGAACAAGCAAACCATGCAGGCGGAGGAGAAGTGGACGCCGCACCTACCCAGGAAAATGGTGGCGACGAGTCCAAAACTTGCCGCACAGGTAGGGCATGAGGTCAAGCGACGCGACCAGCCGCCCGAGCGCCCCGCGCGCACGGACCCGGAGGCAGTGGAATGACCGGCACGACGGGCTCGTGCAAGGGAGCGCCGCCCATCGGGTAGCCCGAGGGTGGAGCGGCGGGTGGCATTGATGCAGCCAACGCCCGCAAGTACCTGGCCAGGGAGACCACGACAGCCTTAGCCTTGAGCGAAGGGCTGCAGTGGCGGGATCGGGGCACGCCCGTCCGGACCCAGCCGATGTGAACCCTTGCGGCCATCACGCGGTAGGAGAGGACGAAGGTGGGGCCTTTTAAAACCGGATATGTCTGGGTAACACGAAAATTCCCTCCAACCCTGTGGGGCCCAAGAGAGCTCCAAATATGACCCTGACAAGCAAACGCGGATGACGGTTGTTTTTCGGTCGGAGGATATTTCAATCATCGCCGCGTTGCTTTGTTATGCTGTCGAAGACAATGCAACACGCTCCCAGGGTGCCCCCAAGACTGCCCAAAATGACCCCATGATGGCCCCCGGCTTGGCCCCCCCGCGCGGCCCATGAGGGCCCTGGGATGGCCCGGAAAGGCGTCAAGGCAGCTCCATGACGGCCGAAAGAGACCCCCAAAGACGGCATCGAGGGGCCATCGGCGGCCCACTTGGGCCCCACCAGCCCTAGCGTGCCGCGAGACGGTCAAAGATGGAGGCCATCAGTTTGCCCCAAACACAACCTGAGGCCGCCGCAACTTAGCCCCAAAACGCACCGAGAAGCCATCCAGAGGGCTTAAGGACACTCCATGACAGCCCCGACAAACCAAGGAATTGCCAAGATAGCCCGACTCCCCTCCTCCGTCCACGTCCTTCTCTCTGCCGTCGCTGACGCTGCAGCTGCTATTTCTTCTCTCGTGTCTCTGGATCCCAGAATTTTTAGCGCCGTACATGCAAGCGTACCTCTTGTTTCCACATACTCATGATTCGAGTTTGAAGCGTGGATGTATTTGTACGTGGGTATATATAGAGAGAGACATGTATATACACATATACACATACATAAACATATATAAATGTAAACGCACACGACGTACACATATACATGGATTCATATATCTCTCTATGACTCTGTCTCTCTCTCTCTCTCTCTCTCTCTCTATATATATATATATGTACATGTATGTATCTATGTATGTATGTATGTATGTATGTATGTATGTATGTATGTATGTACATATAACGGGGAACTGGGTCCGGGGCCGGGGACTGGAACCCCGACCGCAAATGTGGGGCCTGGCGCGCCGGGAGCCCTGCCGCAGCGCCGGGGGCCGTCCAAGATCGCCCGAAGATGGTTTCGGAACGCTCGTCGAAAACACGCTGCGATGGCTACGGATGCCATTCAAGCCGACTCCCACGACGCCAAGAAAGCCCCCGAAGGCCCCGATTTCCCAAGGGAAAGCTGATATTTGTGGCGCGTTCGCCCTTGGCTTCCACTGCGCACACGACGGCCCAAGAGGCGCCCGAGCCGGTCGAGGACGCCCCCATGAGGGCCCCAAGACGGCCCACGGGGGGCCAAGACGGCCCACCAGGCGCCCAAACCGCCCAAGAACGCCCCAAGGCGGTGCCCAAGACGGGGACGAGGAACCATAAATTCGCTACCAGGATGGCGTTGCCAGACCAGGGGCCTGCTGCGTCACAAATGAATCCATAGGGGTAGCCAAATACCCATAATGAAGAAACTGGCCCGGCACACCTGACGTGTAACCAGAGCCGCGTGTCAACTGAGACTGATAGAAGCCGTCGGCTGTCGCCCGTGCATACGGGTTCTCCGGCTGCGTTCCCACACGAGGGTTGCCCGTCACCTGAGCATGGTTGTCAGGATATAATGGTAAGTCCATCGGTGCTGTTGTAGGGCGCTCTGCAGTTGTCGGATCGTATGTCGGATGACTAAAAAATGCTGGCACGTATCCGTACCTCTTGGGGTTGTCCGGTGATGCGTTTGGGTCCGGGACATACTCCCAAGGCGGCGTCAAGCTAGCGCTTAGGAGGTCGATGCCGCCCCTGCGCGCGCTCTGTGCGGCTACGCGCATTTGCCGTACATCCACTCTTGCTGACCAACCGAACTCTCGGCCCTCTGTGCAGCGTGGCGGTCAGGGAAAGCAGGTCGCCCCGCATGGGGGCGCCGCGGTGCGAACGGCGATGTCGCCTGCAAAGCCTGGTAGAGCTGCGGGTCCATCCGGATTATTTGGAGCCTTGCCTGTAGGCTTCTGGTGCTCCCAGCACTCTGTGGAATCCCAAATGGAGTTGTGGCCCTGCTATTAGGCGCAAGCGACGCAGGTTGCCCTGCAGGTACTGGCAGCTGCTGCGTCTGGGCACGCCACGGATCGCTGGCGCACAGCATGTCGGCGGAAGTAATTCCACCCGATGTCATGCCAATCACGTCCGCACTCTGGGCCTGAATCCATGATCTTTCAGATCCCCCTGCAGGTGTCCCCGCTTGATGCACTTCTTGCAGCATAGATGCCGCAGAGAACTCGACCTCCTGGATGGGCGTCGGCTCGGGACACGTCAAAGTGTAGGGTTTATTTTGGGGGGAAACAAATATTTCAACGATGATGCATCATTTTGAAATTCGTACATATCGTCGATGGAAAGATCACTTCTCGGATATCAATGATCGTTGTCCCACAGGTACGAGGGATTGATCCATGCATGCCCCGCGCGGTTATACCTGCACTTACCGTTGGGCAGAATGCCCATAAACTGCATGATGTGAGTCGCCGTTCCGACCTGCCGACATTATAATAGCATTTGCTGAGCGCCAAATAGCCATAACATCAGATAGCAAAATCTTCAGCCTAACCATAATGAGTACTTCGGAATCCACGCGCAGGCCTGACTGGATTCTGCTGTCACCCGGTAAATATGGGCAAGAGTGAACAAACTGTCTGCCTTTTCTCCTGATGGTGTCGCCGGCACGGCATGACAGTCCTATGCGAAGTATAACCAGGGTATTTTCCCACTGGGTACCACGAATGAAATAACAGGGTGCACCTGTAATAGTCAAATCCGTTATCCTCATATACAGTGATTCAGGGTATTTTATCCCAGGACTGCTGTGTCCATTACTCGGGCGTATGAAATACGTCTCGCACATCTCAGCAGCGAACTTGCACTGCTTGGTCTGGGGCCTGTTCTTCTGCATCCCAGCGTCGTCGACCATGCCAACCAAGCTCAGCACAATCAATTAAATGCCCAATGGCGGTTGCTGAGATAACGCCGGACAGTCTCCAGGTTTTTGGGGCGGCAGCGATCCCATGCCTCAGGTGGCAGCAGGTTGGGCAGCTCTGAGAGCTCCACCCATCCATCGGATTCGTCGATAGACGGCACTGCTCGCAGAAACCTAGAGAGTTGGTTGTAGTGAAATGGTTTGTGACGAGTAGCAGTCGTAAGCCGTTCTGAGCAGCAAAGCTGCTCCTGATAAGTCATATTTGGACCAACAATTCTGTCTGCTTTAAAAATCCCCATCTAGCCGGTCTTCTCGCAAAGATACGCGAGCGTCGGGCGTCTACGCAGGATAGTACGTGCAACCTGGCGCGCATGAGCGTCCTTATCGGCATTGACGGCGGCATCCTGGAC